ACCCTGTATATTCAGATCCACCTTTTCTCTTCTACTTCCATAAAATTATTGAAAATACGAGTATCAAACAGAAATTATCCAGTGACGGAAAGATAATTTTTTAGATGTTATCTTTCACATCAAAATATTTTAAAACAACTTGATTAGTGTGAAGGTACACTTGTAAAATATACCTAATTATTGTTTGTGCCGTGTCGCGTGAGTAATTCTTGCTAATACGAACAAAAGGTAAACCAAAGTATATTACAATTTTTTATCACGTTCACTATTAATATTTAGTATGTATATCCATTAGAACTCGACGTGGCAAAGAATTGCAAAGCGGTGGTTGAAAGTGGTATTTAAATTCGATTTGTTAGCGTACCGGTTTATCAACAACGACCTTCAAGGCATCATGGCCAACTCGGAGCTAATGTGTGAAAATTGAAATCCACGATAATAAAATTCTGAGTACATACTTAAAATTATTAGACGATTAGATTCGTTTATTCAGGTTTAGCAGCTGTAAAATGTACTTTGATAATCGAAAAATATTGTGTATACACTCTTAAACAAAAAATTCAACACAATCGAATTATTGTAAGCCAATAATAAAACACGTGATCTTGTGGAAAAGATAAAAAGTAGATAAGTAATAGTTTCTGTCACTAAATGTCCCAGAGATGTTTTTTATATTTTTTAAATTGAAAATATCAATTTACAAAATTATGGCTGATTTTCATTTGGACTACCTTTTTCAGACTTTTGTACAAAACTCAGTAGAGGAGGAGTTATGGGCAATATTAAGTTTTCTGGCCTCCGAGGTCACCAGACCTAACGCCTCGACTATTATCTCTGAAAAGTCTAGTATATTCAAATAAACCACAAACCAGAGATGAGCTCATTCAAAATATGGCTGCAGCTGCATCCATACGGGACGACCCCGATTCTCTCCCGACGCTACGTCTTTATTTATGTGTTTTGAGGCAACAGATGGACATTTTTAATCAAAATTTTAATTAAATTTGTGTTATTGTCCATAACTCCTTAACTATTGAGTTTTGAACTGAAATGTATGTCGCTTTGGACTTAAAATTGTTCAAAGAATAAGATCCTAAGCTACGACCATCGAGTCACGGGACGCCTTATATAAAGATGCTCTAGTGCTAAAAAAATTCACTGTTCCCAAGTAACACGTTATTTATTTAGGATCTTATTTAAATATGAATCCTTGCAATTTTTTTCTCTTACAATTCCGAAAATTTATAATTTCTTAATTATTATTTATTTTATAGGACCTGACGGGTTCCCGGTATCGACGCCTCCCGGAACTTATGTGCCACCGCCGCCTAACCAGGGAGGGAACCAGGCTCCCAGTCTGAGAGGGCCCTCCGGGCCGCCTAACCAATCTTCGACTCCACCAAATGCGGCTGATCTAAAAGTGCAGGCGTTACCTCAGGCTTCCATTAATCCTATGGTAAGTACTTTTTGATTTTTTATTTTACTTCCAGAAATAAGTACCTCATTAGTGACAAATCAATATTGATACTCAAATAAAATCAATCTTTGTCATTTGTCATATTTTTTAAATAGTCCATAGGAAACTCTTACCATTTACAAAATACTTTAAACCAAATTTGCCTCTCAGATATCAATCGAGCCGATAAAATATTGAATAATGGGGGTAGAATTACAGAATTAAAAAATACATACACATATTTTGAGTGCAATTAAACCACTTTTTCGACTTTTGTTTTCGATTTCACACATATGTAAAAAAATGGTTGCCATGTCATCTAAAATTCAGGAAAACGTCCTTTAAGCTATATCCCATAGTTTGTTGAAAGGGATTTTTTATTGTTATCGACGTCTGGAAGCATATATTTTATGGCCAGCAAAAAAGTAAAAACCCATCCAAGGGCAACTTTACTTTGAATTTCATAGGTCACATGACTGTTCCCACCACCAGAACATAGCACATGTTGTTCACATCCTCCCCTTGGCTTTGTAGCCAACCAAAAAAAGCGTCAGTCAGCTGAGGGACTAATAAGAAATGATTAAAGAATTAGATTATATGCTAAATATTGAAGAATGATATAATTTTGGTTCCATTGACAATTACAGTGACAGAAGACTTGTTTATTATTTTTCAGTGCATTTTGTTACTTTAATTTACAGTTACAGTGTAATTTTCAAAAGTATACAAAGTCGAAAGAAAAGATTAAAAGTCATAAGATTTTTATCTGTATTTTAAAATATCTGCAAATTACTTGTAGATAAAACGTAAAATTTAAAAAACAGATTCTTTTTATCAGTTTGTTCTGTATTCGTTGGAATAATCTTAACGTTATCAGTACTAGTAGCACGTATGTGTCGCCTAGTTATTCACCAGACTCACAACTATAATCTATATATTGTTATTTTTACCTGTGCTATGTGAAAAAATTAAATTATTTCACAACCTCATTGAAGGTTACATTGCAGTAACACAGGTATTGATTTTCTTTATAATTTTTGACCATAATGTATCATTACCTCAAAATTATATATTATTAAATTGATTCTTTATATATTTTGTTATAAATACATTTATCTATTAGATTTATATCTTTTGTTACCTACATTTATAGATAATGAGCATTTTCATTGGCGTTTGTCATACTTTTTATTTTTAAAACCTTTCAATTATTTGGCTATCGACAGATAAATGGTTTTCAATATTTTGCTGAAATTTATGGGAATATTTTATAAGAAAAACGAAATAAATAAATTCTTTATGAATTTTCCTATTGAAAGATACTAACATGTCAGCCTATTATACATATACAGGATGTCCTTTCGGTTTCTTAATTAGTCGATAAAAATTGTTTGATAGATGTTGGATATACTTTTGACGACGATGTATTAAAATTATTCTTAAATATACAGGGGAGTCCATAAATAAATAAAAAATAAATTGATTAATTAATTGGTATTATGAAATACACGTTATAGTAATGTATGGGTAATCGGAACAGAGAGTTTGCAGACCCAGAAACTTTTGGATTATAGAATTCATAATAAATATCTATAATTTAATCATATGTATTTGTTGTTTTAAGAACTTTATATTTTAGAGAAGTAAATTAATATCGTTATGAATGGGACACAGAACAATTGAAGATTCTCTGATTAAAAATAAGACGATTAAACAAAACATACTTATATAAAATGTTACTGGTTTCTGAAATATAGGGTGTGAAAGTCAAAAATTATAGTCGTTAATAATTTTTAAATTTTCATCATCATTTATTTCAGAAACCAGTAATATTTTATCTAAGCATGTTTTATTTAATTTTCTTATTTTTAATCAGAGAATCTTCAGTTGTTCTATACAAGTGTGTCCCATTCTTAATGGGATATATCCAATCCGAACACATTCTTTTTATTCCTTTTTTAACTATACAAATACATTACCTTCACAAAAAAATATATACTCAATGGCTATAAAAACAAAATAAGATAGAGCATGTACCTACAAGGTAATTCGAATTACAAAATTCAGGGTTCAAGGGTTAAGATTATGGATATAATTTTACTCAATTTGAGTTCGGATTATGGAGTATTTCAGATTAAAGGGGTTTCGGACTAGCCATACATTACTGTATTTTATTTAAAAACATTCAAAAAAGCGTACCATCGCGTTTTGACACACCCTGTCTACATCATAGCAATTGAAACAAATTTTAAGACTATAAAAATTGTTTGATGATGTGAAAACAATCAAATATGTTATACGTAACGTCCTAGTTAGGTTAACTGTGATTTTATGACAAAAGTGTCTCTAGGATATAAATCACCCAGATTATCAGTGATATATTATGTTGAACGGGAATGTATGTAGATTTCATTAATTTATAGGGTGTTTGGATTGAAAAGTATGTTTGGTTTTTCACTCATTTATAGACTACCCTGTATATTTAAAAATATGGTACAACTTTTATATCCAAAATATCTTCGTATATGTCCAATAATAAAACACTCACTGTTGGGAGGGACATCATGTATATAGTAATAATAATGAATTTATTCACAAAAATACAATTATTGTCCAAAAGTTTACAATTTAAAATATATATTTATAATAATAAATAATGTAAATAAATAGTGCAGTTTAAAATATGACTACAATGGCTTCAGAGCTGGGCAGAATAATGCATTAAAGTACTCATGAGTATTTCACAATGAGTTGGGTTAAAACCTGTTGAACAGTGTAAACAAATAAATACATTTTCATTCATTAGCTTATAAATCTGTATTTTAATTTTTGAAATCATAGTTGCTAACATACCTAAATTGTGTTCATTTTATTTAGGATTTGCATCATTCTCTAATTTAAAAAAATATATATTTATCGCTTGACAACACTAATACTTTTTAAAAATATTCTATAGTTCAATATACACTTCTCATGTGTCGAATTGTCCACTTAAAAAGCAATCATGTCCCCATTTGATTAAACTGCATAAGCTACATAAAAGACGCATATTAATTATTAAATATTACAAAATTGACAAACATATCTTTAGTTATATTAGCGTTAAAGGATTATTTCTGTTTCTAATTTAGTGACATATTTTTTATAAATTTCTTATTTTCAGTTTCCAACTGTTAGACAGCCTGCGGGAACTTATTATACAAGAGCAGCAGTGCCACCTAATCAAGGTCCGAGGATGGCGAATCATAATACGAGGGTAAGATAAAAACGCTAATTTTTAAATATCAACAAATCGCATTTAAAATTTGAATCATTGTATTAAAAAGCTATTAATTTTATTTTTGCAATATATTTTTGAAACGATTATAGGAATTGTATCCAAAGCAGATTATGAAAACCTACTTAAATACTACAATCTTTAATCATAAATCCGATACTTTAGTTTTTCAATAAACCTTATCTAGATTTTTTAAAAAATGTATTTCTTATCATCTGTATGACGTTTTCTCAGTACGCTTCAATTCTATGGAACACAAAATATGTTTGGAAATTTTAGTCAATAGAGAAAGTGGGTACACATGAATACCATACTATATAAAGAATTGCTGGACTACAAAAAAAATCTGAAAATGAAAAAGAATAATACACATTATGAGATACAGGGTGATTTAAATCGTCTAAAATAATGGTTATACAAGTGTGTGTAAATGACACTTTAAAAATTATGTATGGTGTAAGCCAAAAGGTTGGTTCGTTATTTTACAGTATACTCTGTATATCATAATGAGTCTCAAAAAAGTACATCATTTCGTATTAAATCTATTAAAATTTGCTGCTTTTTTTACTTAATATCTAAGTAGTTTTTAAATGAGATGGTGTTAATTTTTTTTCTTATATGCCTGTGTAGAGTGCTGCCTTATCGTTTCACAAATTTAAAGCTATCAATAGTCTCGACACACATTGCAAAGTATTCCCAGTGGCGCGCTTATAAATGCAATTTCATATTATATAATCCTTATAACATTTTTGCTTCTCGCGAGAGATCCGGTTTGCTTTTAATGCATCCTTCAATTTTAACCAGTAAATAATTTTAATACATTTTTTTATTTTTAGCCTCAGCAGCCTTTGTTTCAGCAGACGCAACCTCATTTCATGCAAGTCGCTGCACCAACACAAGTATACATCTCGCCCACTTCTGTTCCGTACTACAATCATCAAAGGCCAACAACGGGTTACGTTTCTCAAGTACCACTTTATCAACACATAACCTACCAGTATGGAAATACGCCTACACAAACGCAAAGCATACCCTGTAAGTATTTACTTATATAAATATTGAATTATTAAAAAAAATCACTAGTTCTAAAATAAATCGACAAAAAATTAGGTTAAAAATTACAAAAAAACAATGTTCCTTTATATGAAAAATGGAACAATAAATTAAATTTGAGCAGATGTTTTGTTGATTTATCATTTCATTTAATTTAGTATATTGGTAAATAAATTATTTATTATTTGTTTGTCGAGAATTAGTACTTTACATGATTTTTTTTTTAGATAATTATTTTCCTCCGCCTATGATGCGACCCGGTACCATTCCTCAAGCGTCTGCCAATCCAAACACAACGCAAAACCCGATGCCAAACGTACCTTTAGTAACTAATAATCCTCATCCTACGTTCCAAAGGCAACCGCCAAATAAACGAAGACCGAAAGCGATATCGATTATCGATCCCGATACAGGTCAGTCTTGTAATTTTATAAAATTATCTCTAATCAATAATTGTCGACGAAAAAGTTATATAAAATAAGTCTAAAAGTAAAATAAATAAAAAATACACAATTAGTACTAACCACTTAAACCAACCACTGAATGTCATTGAACAAAATTGGTACATGTAAACATTGAAAACATACAAATATAATTTAAATATAAAAAAAATTCTGGCTAATTGGTCCCTGTTAAAGCTATTAAAAGTAATTTATATTATTGAACTTAACATTTTATATTATAAATAAATCGTAAATTTTCTTTTTCCTTTTTGATTTATTTTTAAATTGATCACATTTGAGAATAGGAATAGTATTCACAATATTCCTGATGATTAAACTATTAAATTTTATTCTATCGATTTCGAGTAGTTTTATTCTTATTAAATATACGACCATATTTGGGAAAAATTGAAATTCTTTTATTCAGTTATAGTAATAATGTATTTTATAATTTTTACCGATTTTGATTAGTTTAAACTTCCAGCTTATATTTAAATTTGTTGAAACAGGTGCGGACCGCCTCCAAGAGATTTACGAAGACAGTTCACACCCACCTTCAGGCGAATCGTCGGCCCGACAAACGCCTCAACCTTCGGCGGCAACGCAAAGTCACAACAAAGAGGTACAGGCGGCGTTCGCCAAACAGGTAATGCTAGCAATAAGCAATGACTCCGCACCAGGAGAACCTCAACACCACCATACGTACGTACCTGCCCAGCCCCAAGAAGAGCATCACTCGGAGCTTCAGACGGACAGTAGCGCCTCGACAGTCCAGCAGGCCAATCACGTCGTCCACGATCAGGGTTATGCCGTGGGGCCTGGTCACCAAGTGCAACATCAACAGCCACAGATGAACAGAGATCAAGTTGTGCAGACTAGTAAATTACAGGTAAGACTTAGTTACATTTTACATATTTAAACAAACAATCAAAATTAATTAAATTAACACACTTGACATATTTATATATTGCAAATTAGCAAAATTCTTGGACCCCCTTGTTTGTCATATTGAGACACTATTATTAAAAGTCAAGAAGTGTGTTACATAGTACATTTATTTTGATTATGTATCCAATACAAATTGACTGAATTAAAGTTTAACTGAACAAGAAAAAAATAAAAACGAAAAATAGTGCATAATAAAATTATTATTAGAATTTGAAATACAGAAGAAAACCACTTTAGAGCGAAATAAATAATTTATTAATATTTGGTGTGTCCTCCACTGTTCTGTAGTAAGGTATTAGCTCGCCTATGCATGGAAACAAGGGTGTTAATGTAATACATTGGGATGTTGTTCCATTCTTCTTCGGCCGCGACTGTGAGTTCCTGGAGGGTGACAGGAGGATTAATTCTGTTTGAAATTGCTCGTCCAACGAAATCCCACATGGGTGGGCTCAATGGGATTCATATCTGGCGAATTTGCTGGCCACGGTAATCTTTGAATATTCTGAATTTCTAGTTCATTTTGTACCCTTCCTCGTGCGATGGGGCCTATCATTGTCATCCATGAAAATAAAATTGGCTCAAATTTCATTTCGGAGAGGATAAATAATGAGGTCATAGTGTCTGGAATGGGAATAGGTTGTGTACGACGACCATGCATTATGCCTCTCCAAAACATTACTGTTCCTCCTTGGTATGGAATGACTTCTCTGGCAAAAGATAATCTTTCTGGTCGCCCTGGCCTTCGCCAAACTCTGTGTCGCCGACTATCACTAATTAAACCATATCTGGTTTAGTCCGACAAAAGAACATTTCGCCACTGAGCTAAAGGCCAGTCTCTGTGTTCCTGTGTCCACTGTAGACGAGCAGCTATATGTCTGGGAAATAACCTGGGTACTCTTAATGGTCTCCTAGATCTTAAATTGGCTCCAGCAAGTCTCCACCGTATTGTGGTACTGGAAATGGATCGACCATACCGATCTTTTCTTGGATTAGTTACCCTAGGATGCCCAGTCCCACGTCTCCAGTCAAAGCTGTTAGTTTCCTGGTACAATCCCTAGTCTATCTGCGATACGATGATTCGGCAGACCCTCATCATGCAAAGCCACTATTCTTGCTCTATTGAACACTGAAATTCTATTGCCAGGCATAGTTGCAAAGAAAAACTCAACAATCACTTAAACATGCAAAATCGATATGAACCACTTTTTAAACATTGGTACCTAAAATTGTGGGAAATTGTTTTTGTAAACATTTTTAGATGCGTATCAAGGGTGAAATAAATAAAGATTGAATGTACAAAAAAGTAGCCATGATAAATATTTCGTTTTAATATTTACGAGGGGAGTCCAAGAATTTTGGCGATGTGTGTATATTCATGGTTTGAAATTGAAAATCAGACATTTTAAAATGACAAACAAATTTAAAAAAAAAATATTCAATCAATAAGAAGTTACAAATAAATATAAAAAATGGTTGGAAATAAAATAAGTTTTATTTTCAATGTCTGAAATATCTTCTATAACTCATATCTTTAAAAATGTGGAAATTTAAAAAATACAAGAAATTGGTTAGAAATATTTTTTTTTATTTTCCACGTCCGAAATATATTCTTTCTCCTCTTCTTTAACTCCTATTGTTTTTTTTTTTCAGTCATTCTTAGGATTTAAAGTTATTATTGTTTCAATGTCGGAAATATTTTTTTTTTTATCTTCCTCTGTACGACTACAGTTAATTGACCCAGTGCTCTTGTTTTACTTTTTCAAAGTTGTTACGATTTCATTAAGAGTGAAACTTGTTATTTAAAGTCATGATAATGACATTTTGTCCCAGGCCAAATTATGACATTATACTGGCAATGGTAAGGAGGCACTATTATTCATCCACATACATACAATTACAATAAATAATTTTTCAATTATGTTGAGTAGAATAAAAGAAAATTTACGAGTGGCTCTTGGGGATAACACATGGAAAATTCGATTTTCCTTATCAGAAAAATTTTCCGATCCCAAAATGTACTTATACATTCAGATCATTCAGGAAAATATATTTTTTGGACTAGTGACGATGTACGTTTTCATACATTCGATGGTCTTGTGTGGAAAAATCTGGTGAAATCTCGATTTTTTCCTTAGAAGATTACGCCCTTATTTCAACCCTTTCCGAAGCCTAGTTCTATTAATTAATCTTATAGGGAAAACGGCTTGCGTGGAAATATGGGCAACAAATAACTTTTCATTTTTATAGGGGAAAATTGAATTTTCCATGTGTTATCCCCAGGAGCCACTCGTAAATTTACTTTCATTCTACTTAAAATCAATGTAGTTTTCAACCCTCTGAGGCTTGTATGCAAAAATGGGGCATCTAAACGTGTCACTATCTGACGGTCTATTACAGTTTAGTCTCTAGAACGTCCTGAAGAGAGGCATGTCTTGTCGTTGAAGACCACGCCCCTCTCCCCCCCATATCTTATGCACTGCTTTCATTTCGCGAGCGCTATGGGCTCTTTCCATATTTGATTTAATGCAATAGAAATCGTGCTTCTGGGAACACTTATGAGTACGCATCTTTTTCCTTGACGGATCAACATACTTTGTGCTACTACATTAAAAAACTATTACATTTTTTACCGTTTTGAAATCTTTAATTCAAAATCGCCAATTTCTTTAAATTAAGATCCTAAAAATGGAAAAAAAAAAAAAGATCTTGTGGGATTATTACATAGGTCATTGATTTAGTGCATTAAAGAGATTTTTTTAATCAAATAGCACAAAGCCAAAACTGAACAGGTAAAATATCATATTAATAACTATTAGGGAGAGTATTATATTATTGTGCTCAAATATTCAACATAAAGCGGAATTTTAACTGTTCATTCTGTCTTAAAATCGATGCAAATATTTTTCAAAAAATAAAAAACTACCTACATAAATTTATACAAAATTATACTTTTACATTTATATAGATATATTTATATTATAAAGTATTATAAAATAAAAACCAATTTACTCATAATAAAGTCCAAAAACCAATGCATATCCAAAAACTGCAGGATTTTCCATAGTGTATGTCGTATAGTTGTCTTTTTGAAAATCCCACAAAAATCGACAGCAACAAAATATATCTTGGTTATGTTTCTCTCCCATTGTAACAATAATAATAAGCTTGTATCTTCGATATTCGAGTTCTTTAATTTTTTTTCTGATCGTGTCTGAAGCCCATTTCGCCTGCTTTGCACATAAATCAGGACTATAGGGCAAAAAATATTTTATGTCTGTTATTTCTCCCTCTTCATCTACCTTAAATGCTCTAAAAACAAAATACATATGATAAAAACAAATCGTTTATAAAATATTATAATCATACGTGTATGCTTCAAACGCTTCTAACATAACTTCCTGTAAGATTTCGATAATTTTTTCTGGATTATATGGTTTATCGGGTTCCATTTTATAAGTGTTGAGAAAACGGGCTACTTTAGGTACTCCTGTAGCATCAACGAAGCTGTCGCGTCTTACATCTATTACATCACCTACATAGGAAGACAACACAAATCAATATTCATTATTTAAAAATGTTTGTAAAATTTTGCATTTTTCGAACATATTGGGACGATGTTTTCAGTATTCTGAAATTTTTGAATACTTTTTTGGACAGAATATTCTTGGAAAATGGTAATCTTATCTAAATGAACTAAGAATAACTTTTCGTCATAAAAAAGGTTCAATTTAATAAGTATGGTCTCAAAAATAATAAAATGTAGAAGGCATCATATTTTTTAGTACTTTATAGCACCACTCTCCCTTAGCTGGGCCATCTCAGTTAAAAATTATTCAGTTTATGAACACTTTCAGAATATCTATTTTTAAGAAAAATCCAAAAATTGATTTATCGGTACCGTTTTCGAAAATATCGTCAGAAAACCGTCTTCAGATGGGTGCTCTTCAAAGGGATAAGATATTTTTGGATAAATGTTTATAGGAATCTTCACCTTATTATCTTTAATTTTGGAAGACCCTGTATAGCACTCTTTTTGAATTCAACAAAATGGTTACCTACTACTTCCTTGGCCCTCTGTTCACTTTTTTCATCTGTGGTGTCTAATAGTTTGGCTTGATCCGATGCTTCGGTAGGGCGTTTGGCTAATTGGCTTGATGGTACTTTGGTGATATGTTCATATGAACTCTCTGCTATTGGCCCTTAAAAAAAATATATAAATAAAATTAGGAAGTAGTAAATTTTTTCATTGTCATATTAAGCTGAAGCCGCTAAACATGTGGAGCACGAGGAAGAATTTTAATAAAAAAAAAACCAATTCCACTTTATGAGAAGAAATCAAATAAATGCATATTGAATATTGTTAATTGGTATATGTGATTATTAATTTGTGTCTTATTGTTTGAGCTTTTCTTATAAACTTAAGTTTTATCAATACATCAATACAGACAAGTCATAAAAAATTGTATTAACGATTTTGAAATTGGTTTAATAAAAATTAGTCAATAGATCCCATGTCTGAAGTGTGGGAACTATAAAAGATACTTGATGAAGGCCTTTCCACTCAGTGAAATAACTTAAAAAATAAGATTTATTTTTGAAGTCTTAGTTAATTTATAATAATATGGATCATTATTTTGCTAAATTATCAATTAATATTGGTGAAATTTTAACATTTTAAAATTAATATGCAAATGATTTGTACCTTCCTTTAAAACTGTCAAATAAAATTTCAAATTTTTGGATTAAATTATAAACTACAGGATTCATTTTAATAACTAATCTGAATATGTATACAAAATTGCTTACCACATTGCAAATTTTGATAAAAATAATTGTTAACGTATATCTAAAATTTTAAATGTTTAAAAATTTGATGTATGTGAATTACATTTTAAAAATATGTCATTAATTTTTATTGAATTAAAATTGTCAATGTTTTAATTTAGTTTATTTCACTAGGTATTTTTAATTAAGAAAGTATATCATTTCAATGGGCAAAAATTACAAAGATGGTATTAACTGGCATATTATGTAAAAGGTATTTCTCAACAAAATACTAAGATGAAAATATTCACTTTACTATAAAAAATTATTAGCATTAAGACATACTAGGTTAGCTTTAAATAGATGTAGTTTATTAATTTTGAAGTTAGAGAGCCTCTAGAATTAATATCACTTCAACCTAACATTTCTATAGTATAATTTATTTCAAATAGTACATTTCTGATGAATTCTTTGCAGTAAAATTTCTCAAACTATCTTTACATTTAACATTTATTGCCTACCTTCTCCAGCAGCGCCCTTTTCTTCTTCAGTTGGAGGAGCTTCCTCCTGTTTATCTTCTTCAGGTGGAAGCTCTTCAGCTTGAGGTGTAGCATCATCAGTAGTTTCAGCGTCTGCAGTCTCAGCTTCTGCAGCTTCAGGGGCGGTAGAGTCAGGAACAGTGGCATCAGCAGCAGGCTCTTCGTCTGCCATTTCGATTACTTATATTTAAATTTCTTTTGAATGTCATTTTGACACGGGTAGACTTTTCATTAAGCTCAGTTTGAATGATCATGTTTGCATGCCAAATGGAGTACCCAATCAACCGTTTACCTACCCTGCTTGTTTGCTCTATTGGACGTTTGTGACTTCTTTGAGATGAGAAGGGATCTTAAGTGGTTGTTGATTCAATCTTGAGGTTTTTTTTTTTTATTTATTGGTCTCAACTTATACAAGTTATTTAAACAGCACTAACATTAGTTACATGTAAATAAATATAAAATTTCAAACTTTATTTGAGGTTATTTAAGTTGATTTAAAACATTTATAGGTTAGAGAGCTGTTCACGATGACATTCGCGATTGTGGTACTGTTTGTAATTGGGGTATTTACTAGTATAGATCAGTAGTAAAATGACTGATAATAGTGATAATGAAAGTAATAAAACAAACTGGAGGTTGCTCTATAGCTTTCCAATTACAATCTTTTTTATCATTGTAGTTTATAATATACTTTTGACAGATTTGTTTGATTTTTGACAAGTTTTACTGAGTGATGATGCAGAATGAAGAGCTCAGAATTCTTCAACAGGTTATAATAATAATAATAAAACCATTTATTGCCCTATAGTTCCTATTTTCAAGGAAATTTAATTATCGAATATTAACTAAGAAATTACATAGGATAAGAAAATAAAAAAAAAAAATATAAAATTAATATGAATTCAATGATAAAACTCTTTATTGTTTTTTAGTTCGCATACATTACAATAGAAAATGTCACACTTGTTTCCATTTTCTTTAAAGCGTCAACTTTCATTACACTATTGACTTCATTTTTATACTGTGACAATTTTATTAATTTCTTTTTTTGTTTTATTTTAATTGATATTTTAAATGTACCATTTAGAACTTTATGTATCTGTAGCGTAATGTAAACAAATAAATAAATTACTAAACACATTGGTAATTGGCGCTTTTGACAACAAATTGGTTAGAGCTCCTTTAATAAAAAAAGTAATATTGTCTAGATACCCTTTTGTGAGACCCAACAAAGTTCAGTCAATTTCGCATCTAACAGTTTATGTAAGAACAAAACAGATGCCTCATTTTTATATTTGTTTCTAATAATAAAAATCAAATTAGTGTAGTGTCTATCTAGGTAGTTACAACCTCTTGATGGATCAAATCCATTTATCTGGCAAATAATAGACATTTTCAAAGAATGTACTAAATACATTCATTGTCGAATCAGGATTATCATACCAATTATCATTATAGAACATTTTACCAGGAATTCTAGAAGCTTTATTTTTATTATTAACAAATGAGAATAACTTTGCTTTTAACTTGTTTTACTTATATTAGTTAAAAAATATCACACGTTTGTCAGTCTCTAGGGTTCTCTGGTTTTTCTCTAGGTTCCTGTAATTTAACTCTAGATTCGTGTAGTTTTTCTCTAAGTTTCTGTTTTTTTTTAGGTTTCTGTAGTTTATCTCTCGGTTCCTGTAGTTTATCTCTAGGTTCCTGTAGTTTATCTCTAGGGCCCTGTGATTTTTTTGTTGGGTCTTTCAGTGTTTCTATAGGGTGCTGAGATTTTTCTCTAGAGCTCTGAGGGTTTTCTCTAGGCTCCTACGTGTTTTTCTCTAGGGTCGTGCATTTTTCTCTATAGTCCTGTGGTTTTTCTCTAGGGTTTTGTGGTTTTTTTCATAACCCTATGTTTTTTTTATTACTGAGTGTTACTCACAAATTCCAAATAAAGTACCAGTATTTTTGTCAGATGCTTGTTGATAAAAATATTTTATAGTAACTGATCCTCAGAATTTGTATTCATACATATACAATTATTAATGTTTACAATTTACGATTTTGACAATAATTTCTTCCGTTTTTCACACTTAAAATTATTTTTTTTTATTCTAGGCTGAAGCAAAAGAATTTGTTTTACCCGTCATAACTGCCAAAGAGACACCGATAGTGTCGGCGAACATCGACGCTGTCGAAGTGACATTACCTAATAAGTTACCTAAAGACAGAGAGAGTCCTGTTAAGGGCCGTAAGCAGAGGATAGGTGACCATAAGGATTCTAGCAAAGACATTTCATCGGTTACTGCTATTAGCAAAGAAATCTTCAGTGATAATAAAGAATCTTCCAATGCAAAAGATGAGGTAAATTATGTTATTGATATTTTTTCGGTAAGGAGTTTTTAAATCGTCTTAAATTTATTATTTTTTGGGTTGAAATCGTTACTTTTTTTTTAATTTATGTTGAAGTTTGTTCAATTCTGATGCGATTTAATTTTTGTTTGTACAAATGCTATTTCAGTTGAATGTTTCTAATTTTATCAGATTCTTGCAATCACATCCAATACTCATTTAATTCCATTATTATGTATACTTCATTTTTTTTTTTTTGTTAAAGGTAAAGGCTATGCCTGAAATTTCCCCATCTTCAGCAACTAACCCATCAACGAATTTAACTCAGGTACCCGTCGTTAGTAAAGAAACTATCGCAGCTCCGAAGGAGATTATTCCACAAGCGCTGGACAAGCAGCAACAGCGCCCCCCACCGGTTCATCTACAGCAGCCGCTTATTCAGCAGCAGCCACCTCAGCAGCCACAGCAGGCCAGGAGGGATAGCAAGGACCTTTCGCCGAAGGTGCTCGAGAGGCAGGACAGCAGCGGTTCTGGTAGCGGTCCTGCTGCAGCCCATGATGGTGAGTAATGATTCTATCTTAATTATTTGAATTTGGCATACTATTTTTGATTACGAATATAATTATGCATTCTACCAACAGAATATTATTATCAACGGCCAATCCAAAATTTGCATTTTTTTAATACTATTATGAAATATGAACATCCTGATTTCTCTTATAAGGGTTTTGTATGGGATCAAAAGGTTTACCAACAGACTTTATCGGAAAAAATAACTGGCTACCCCAATTTTTTTTGTATATTACTCTCATTTTTAGTTTATTTTTCAAAATTTTTCCAATTTTTTTGCTGAATACATCGCAAATTACCCCAAATTTGAACATAATTATCCCTATATCTACCCCCAAGTTGGATTAAAGAATTACCCTCAATTCAAAAAGGACCAATATTCTAGTTTTTATTTTTTATTTAACATTGTTACAGCCTTTTGTTTATAAAAATTATTTAAACTTGGTTGTTTTTTGTAAATATAAGAAAATTTGAAATACAAAAGTTTTATGGTTCTTAGAGTACCTATTATAATAATATTTTTGAATCTCCAAAAAATGAGGCAATATAAAACATTGTTTGGAACACAAGTATTTTTTATACCTTATACAAATATTCAATAAAATACCCCACTTCCGGTTTAACTGGAAGTTAGATTTTTTTTAGATTGAGTTATTCCAAAGTTCAAGTATCTGGATAAGATATGAAAACCTAAACCGTTTTATTACAACTTCAAGCGTTTGAGTGCTTCAGCTTGTCAAAGTGTGAAAAAGTAAATTTTCGAATCTCAGAAGCCCTATAACAATTGAATCGGTAAGTGAAAGAGCAATACATATCCAAAATGACCATTTTAAGAAAAAAAAAACTGTTTTAAAGGAGAACTATGGGTTATTCGGCCTAATTATGTATTGTGAAGTTATAAAATTTATGTTAACAGAATAATACATATATAAATTTAAAAAGAAAATTGTGTAAAAAATGATATTTGAAAAAAATTACCTGCAGTTATACAGTTCTTTCACTCAATTTAAAAAAAATGCTTTAAATTTTTTTATAGCTTTATTGATTATTATTAAACAAATTTAATTGTAATTTTTATTTAGAATCTTTATTTTTGTCTTTCCAAGAAATAATAAGGTAGTAAAACTCTAGGGTTTCTTCTTTATGTTAATAGGGACAACTTCTGGGTAGCCTTTTATAAGGCTAAAGTGAGCGAGAGAAAACCTCCTATGAAAGCACTTGTAATACATCCAGGAGTTTTACTAGTGAATGTAAACTGGCTGTACTGCAAAATGATAAAATTAGCTTTTTGTCCATCAGCTGATTTGGACGTTTTTTTTATAAAATTACGGCCACGAGTTTTTGAAATCTGTCAAATTTATCTACGAAACGACATGGCGACTGAGTGAAAAAACAGTACATGCGCGTGTACTGTTCTTTCACTCAGCCTACTCAGTCGAAAATTGTACAAGCCCCCATTGCTCGTACGATGTTGGTCGGTGTATTATTCTTTCGATATGTGATAGGCCTATGAATTTTAAACAATTTTCCTATTTCAGTTAAAATTACTATTTTTGGCACTTGTATTGTTTTTTCACTCACCGATTCAATTGCATTTAGACATATGGTGTTTCAGACAAAAATACTTAGATTTTTTTAGTAGAATTAAAAAAAATTAAAAAAAAAATGTTACCTTCCTTTTTTGGAGGCACCTTTATATTGGGAAATATTTTACAATATAGTGAACTGCAAAGTAAATATTTATTATTATTTGACATTTTCTCGTATTTTTAAAAACAACCTAGATATATGACTTCCACAGACTAATATTTTTTTAAATAAATTAATTGGAATGTAATAAAAAATGTATTTCATTACAATAATTAATTAATGTTCTAATGTTAGCAAGATGCATTATAGAATGCATGGTTGTATTAGTGATAAAAACTTGCATAAAATTTTGATTAAAAAATTTTATGTTACTAATTTGAGAAGATAATTCTATAAAACTATAGAAATAAAACAATTTTAAACGCCACTAACTCCATTTAATTAGTTACTGTACACTAACATCCCATTTACACTTTCATAAAAATATTTGAAGCCATTTTACAATAAGAGCACAAAATAACTTCTAAAATTTCAACTTTAAGACGCTGTAATTTTTTTATTATCCATTTTTTATATAGCTTAAATAAACTTATTTTCGGCCCCAGAAAATGAGATTAAATTACTGTATACACTAAACTAAATAATAGTTGCTTTTTATTACGATTCAAGATTTTCGTAATCGGTAATCGGTAAACAATAATTACTTTCTATTACAATTCCAGAGAGTTAGTAGTTGCCTGTTATCAACACTTTTCCTTTACATAATTCAGTCTAAACCAACAGCCATTTGAATGAACACAAAATATCGTTGGGATGTAGTTATTGATTTAAAAATATTACAACTAAATTATTTTCAATTATTGGAATTTTTGAATGTATCTCCAATTAATATAGTATGTCCCGCCACTGTAAAATGCACATTTATTTTTTAATTTAACTACTTTGTGATAGTTAATAATGGTGCATATTTATCAAAACAAAAATAATCTTCACCTTTAACAGTTGCATGCGTACGACTAGCCTCAATATTTTTGAAGAAAAAAATGGGACGCCAATGTATTTTTCCCAAATAAAAATTATTTTTAAATTCTCCATTTAATTTCAAACCTAAAATATCCCTTGATTTGTTTACCTACGTTGCTCCGTTTTTAAGTAAAAATAAAAACTGTTGTATAGTCCAAGAAAATTAATGTACTTAATGAAGATTGAAAGAAAAAAAAATTACATTTTCATAGTTTATAAAGCAAACTATCACAATTTTTTTATGTAGATTTACATTCTTAAATATTCGCATGTCAAGGAACACTCTGTATAATACAACAGCAAAAAACATTTGAAAATAAATCTGTAACTGATCATTCAAACATAAAACTATTCTAAGAACCCAATGGCTAAGTGATTCCTGACACTTCCCAGTTAAATTGGGGGGTTTGTGTATTTGTCAGACCACTAGGTAAATTATCCACCACGTGTGTAATTATATCTACGGACGGACACGGAAAAATTCCGATTATTGTTTTGCAGGTAAGTCCATTAATCTTTTAATTATATCTGGCACAATGCTCAATTATCAGACTAAGGCCATTGCTAATGTTTCATATTTTAAAGCTGAACGTGATAATAATAAAACCTTACAGGTAAAATGTTCTAACTTTTAATGCATTGTAATAAAACAATTTTTATTTTTTTGTCATTTGTAATTATGATCGAGTTGTTTAATTATGGTTTATTTTCAACGATTCACGGGCGACCAAAAAAATAATGTCTACTACTTAGTAATTTCAGTAAATTATCGTGAAATTAAAAAATATAACGTTATAGAAACGTGTGCCTTTGTATTTAAACCGTTAATATAGTTTTTAACTCATTAGCGACCAAGTATTAATTGACAATTATTAGCCTCTGGGACCAAACCCTGTAAGAATAATAATAAATTCATTTATTTGCAGCTTACACAGAATATGGAACAAAAAAAATATAATTGTAAAAGAAACACTTAATGTAACACTGCAAAATAGAGCTGGCATACAGTAAAACTGATTCTAAGTGCCAGCCCTAGACACTGAAATAAGTGTCAATATGTTTATATTGACACCTTTTGGCATATTATGGTAATTTCCGTTAGTTTTAGTTTTTATATTTTTTACGATTTAGAAGACCAAGTAGTCCATTTTTTATGACAAATTACGATATATGGAATGGCTTTATCGTTTCTTAAACTATTCCCATTTAAAATCTGTGCATTTTGCATCTGATAAAACCAATCATCAAAACACTCTTCCATAGTAATGAAGGTACTTCTGAAAGAAATTATTTAAATGCTCGCAGAGCATTTTATTTTTGAAGTATTGGAATAAAAAGTTGTTACTGGTCAAAACACTCGACAGTTTCTCGTGCTGTGTGAGCGCTTCCGTTGTTTCTTCTGATTTCAGCGATAACTCCGGCAAACAAAATGAAGTATTACCGGTTAGCATTAACTTGCCTTCTATCCTCTTATTCCAAAATTGATGTTGTGTGAGGATTTTCTAATATAAAATTGTATTGTTGTGCGACGTTTAGGAAAAAAAAGGTGGACAATATTCCCGTTTAAAATTTAACTAGATATTTATTAAAACAAAAAAAGCAGCTGTTTTTTAATTGCTTTCAAAATAAATACTTTTTTGAACGTTTACAAAAAAATTAAGGTTTCTCCATCATAAGTTTTGTTATTATTGGTATTTTTCGAAAATTTCACAAAAATCTCGGACTAAAAATAGATGCTCAGAAGAAATTTTTAAGGTTCTCTTAAAGAATTTTTTAATATTGATTATATTAAGTATTTATCTGGGTACACTGTATAAAAATGACAAGATATTTGGTTAGAAATATCAAAATATTGCAAGTTTTGATCCAAATGTTCTCAGAAAATTAATTTTCTTTTTCGAAAAATGCTATTGGAAATGGGTAGCTAAGTTTTTCCACATATTACTACGGTGTCAAACCGCATCGAACATTATTCGCTCCGTGCGTACTGACAATACAATTTTTAATAGAATTATTAATTCAAAAATATATGTTAGTTTTAATAAAAGTAAACAAATGAAACATTAATTTATTATTATTGTTATTATTATTATTATTATATCTTTATCGCTTAAACTAAAAAAAAAAACTAAGTATAATCAATAATAAAATATAGGCAGGCAACAGTATTTACGGGGAAATGTATGAAAAGTTGCCTAAGTCTCATAAGTTGTCTTTAAAGAAGTAACCTATTCATTCAAAATAAAAAAAAAGCGTGAAGTTAAAATGTATAAACAGAAGGATTGTTATTTATATTTTCATTTTTGTTCGAAAGGAAATAGAATTAATACTGATTTCCTATCAGTAAGTCACAAAATTGCATTCCAGCCACATACAA